ACCACAGATTGTAAAACAGCAAAAGATTCAAAGCTCAGAAGACATAGAGAAAGATGCCTACACAAGACTAGGTTACAAGAGCAGTCCTACAATGGGACAGTGGAGGTGACAAGGAAGGAATAAATGCACACAATGCCATGGCAGTACACTGAAGCATTCCCGTGCCTAACTATATTACAGTGACATCTACAGGAGGGAATTGACAATAAAAAAGGGAAAGGTTGTCCCAATATGGCTTGAGTTCTGATGCCTAAAAGAAACAAGGTACTAGGGGCAACAGGAAAAAAATATTCAGAAATTTAGAAAAAAAATGGTTAAACAAATTTATTTTATGAGGAGGATTATCTATACTAGAAGCCCATAAAAAGATTCTAAATCAAGAAGAGCCTATTCTGAAGTGGGCTGGAATAGGAGTAAACAAAACAAGGAAAACCAACATTTCCAAATCTGCTCTCAACATTTATTCTGTGTCTCTATGACTTCCTTTCTTGTAATAGTCTGGAATACAAATACCAGAAATCTGGGTTGCATGCCAACACACCACTATCCTGGGCTTATGGGGAATAATAATCAAACACAGTCTTCTTTTTTCCCAAGCTCAATACTTGGTCTTAGAGCTCCTGTCCTCACGGCTCCCTAGGCTGCCATCACCAGCTGACTAGAATTTATACCCAAGAGAAAATCCATCTGAAACCCCTGGTTTAGACCTACTTTATTCATATACTTGCAGTAAAGTGCTTACTTAGCCCTGGACAAAAGCAGTCAAAAGGACAAAACTGTCCTCAAAATATTAAAAATAGAACTACCATATGATCCAGCCAATTCCATTTTAGGATATATATCTGAAGAAAACAAGAACACTAACTCGAAAAGACATATGTACCCCCATGTTCACTGTAGCATTACTTACAATAGCCAAGATACAGAAACACCCTAAGGGTCCACTGATGGATGACTAAAGAAAATGTGGTGTGTGTGTGTGTGTATACATACACACACATACATATATATATACACATACACACATGCGTGCGCGCGCGCACACACACAGGAATATTATTCAGCCATAAAAAAGAATGAAGTTTTGTCACTTGCAGCAACGTGGTGGACCTCAAGGGTATTATGCTAAGTAAAAAGGGTCAGAGAAAGACAAATACTGTATGATCTCACTTATATGTGGAATCTTAAAACAAACAGCAGCTCAAAGATACAAAGAACAGACAGGGGGCTGCCAGAACTGGTGGTGGGGTTGGATAAATGAGTGAAGGGAGTCAAAGGCACAAACTTCCGGTTATAAAATAAACAAGTCCCAGGGATGTAATGTGCAGCATGGTAAGCTATTGTTAATAACACTTTATAATAGACTTGAAAGTTGTTAAGAGAGTAGGTCTTGAGAGGTCTCATCACAAGAAGAAAGTTTTTTGGTAACTGTGTAAGGTGACAGATGTTAACTAGACTTATTGTGGTGATATATACAAACATGGAACCATTATGTTGTACACCTGAAACTAATATAATGATATATGTCAAATATACCTCAATTGAAAAAAAGAAAAAAAAGAGAGAGAGAGAGAAATGCCAGAAGAAAAAAAAAAAGGAGAAAACTGTCCTGGGGTGAGGGGTGAAGGATAAGCAGAGCTGTCTGAACCACTACTATTAGGGGAAAGGGGAAAAAAAAGAGACAAAGCTTATCAGAGGAACAAGTGGAAACCACCAAGCTTTCTACAGTAGTTGCCAAAATAGGAAGTTTACTTCTACTGGTTCAATAAATAACCACACAGCCTAACAGATTGTGACCAGAAAGAGAGGCTGAGCAAAGAAAACTTAGAAAGACAGCAAAATATAAAATAAAATCTTTTTTATTTTCTACTCTCAGATAAGTAATTAAAGTTTCTTTGTTTCAGATAGCTATTATAAAATTCTAAACAAATATTTATGAATAAAAGATGTCTTGGGGCTTCCCTGGTGGTACAGTGGTTGAGAGTCCGCCTGCCGATGCAGGGGACACGGGTTCGTGCCCCGGTCCGGGAAGATCCCACATGCCGCGGAGCGGCTGGGCCCGTGAGCCATGGCCGCTGAGTCCGCGCGTCCAGAGCCTGTGCTCGGCAACGGGAGAGGCCACAACAGTGAGAGCCCCGCGTAACGCAAAAAAAAAAAAAATGTCTTACAACTGTCAGACACTACTCATCTACCAAATAAAATAATAAACAGCAACTTAATTTTTAAAAACTTCTGTAACGTAGCCATACACATACACGGAAGTGCCACAAATAGCCTTGTGATTAGCATGAAAAGGAGATGTGAAAAATAACATTGCAGAAGTATATTCATGGACATAGAAAGGTGCTCGTGACATAAGTTTAAAATGCAGTTTACAAAACAATTTCACTGTGATCCAGTTTTCTTGTGTCTTAAAAAGTCCAAAGGCATAAAAGTCATTAGTTAACATTTTGGTATAATCTGTGGGCAGTGGGATTTTTAATGATTTTTCTTTTCTTCTTTTTGTTTCTCTCTATTTTCTAACTTAACTGTAACACACTGGTATTTGAGAACTTTTTTTTTCCTCTAAAAAATCTGCTACAATTAGTAATTTGCTCTTGTAGTTTATGTATAACTATCAGAAAGAAGCAAGGGACAAATGTCAATTACTGTGGAAACTGTGTGCTATTCAAACCTACCTCTCTGCTCACAGCCATTCCCACATGGCTGGCTAACTAGAAGTCCAGTCTGATGATCTCAGAACAGTGACTATATCTGCCCCTGCACCCCACCCCACCACAACCCCGGTACAACTCATTAGAAACCTGTATGTTTAACAAAGCACTCTGGATAAAGGCCACGTGCAACCAGGTTACCTCAAAAACAATCTTTAAAAAAAAGATTATTTTAAAAAGTTAAAATAATCTTTTAAAGAATAACCTTTAAAATAATCTTTAAAAAATAATCTTTTAAAGAAGACTAATCTTTATTCAACATTGTAGTGGAAGTTTCAGCCAGAGCAATCAGGCAAGATAAGAAATAAAAGGCACCCAGATTAGAAAGTAAGAAAACTATCTCCATTTGCAGAGACATGATCTTATATATGCAAAATCCTAAAGAAGCCACAGAAACTATTAAAGCTATTAAACAAATTCAGCAAAGTTGCAGGATACAAGATCTATAGGGGTAAACATTCATGACTTTGGATTTGGCAATGGTTTGTTACGTGGGACACAACACATGGAAATTAAACAAAATACTTCTGATTAACCAATGTATCAAAGAAGAAATCAAAAGAGAAATCAAACAGTATATGATCCAAAGAAAATGGAAACACAACATATCAAAATCTATGGGAAGGGGCTTCCCTGGTGGCGCAGTGGTTGGGAGTCCGCCTGCTAATGCAGGGGACACGGGTTCGAGCCCTGGTCTGGGAAGGTCCCACATGCTGCGGAGCAACTAGGCCCGTGAGCCACAACTACTGAGCCTGCGCATCTGGAGCCTGTGCTCTGCAACAAGAGAGGCCGCGGCAGTGACAGGCCCGCGCACTGCGATGAAGAGTGGCCCCCGCTTGCCACAACTAGAGAAAGCCCTCACACAGAAACGAAGACCCAACACAGCCAAAAATAAATAAATAAACAAATATGGGGTCCCACTACTGGGCATATACCCTGAGAAAACCAAAATTCAAAAAGAGTCATGTACCAAAATGTTCATTGCAGCTCTATTTACAATAGCCCGGAGATGGAAACAACCTAAGTGCCCATCATCGGATGAATGGATAAAGAAGATGTGGCACATATATACAATGGAATATTACTCAGCCATAAAAAGAAACGAAATTGAGCTATTTGTAATGAGGTGGATAGACCTAGACTCTATCATATAGAGTGAAGTAAGTCAGAAAGAAAAAGACAAACACCGTATGCTAACACATATATATGGAATTTAAGAAAAAAAAAAAGTCATGAAGAACCTAGGGGTAAGACAGGAATAAAGACGCAGACCTACTGGAGAACGGACTTGAGGTTATGGGGAGGGGGAAGGGTGAGCTGTGACAGGGCGAGAGAGAGTCGTGGACATATACACACTAACAAACGTAAGGTAGATAGCTAGTGGGAAGCAGCCGCATGGCACAGGGATATTGGCTCGGTGCTTTGTGACAGCCTGGAAGGGTGGGATAGGGAGGGTGGGAGGGAGGGAGACGCAAGAGGGAAGACATATGGGAACATATGTATATGTATAACTGATTCACTTTGTTATAAAGCAGAAACTAACACACCATTGTAAAGCAATTATACCCCAATAAAGATGTTAAAAAATAAATAAATAAAAATCCAAAAAAACAAAAAACAAAAAACAAAAAACCTATGGGATGCAAAAGCACTTCTAAGAGGGCAGTTTATAGCAATAAATACCTCATTAAGAAAAAAGAAAGATCTCAAATAAATAACCTAACTTTATGTAGCTGCTTAATGGGCACAGCACTTTCCTTTAGGGTGATGAAGATGTCTTGGAACTAGATGGAAGTAATGGATGCACAACACTGTGAATGTACTAAATGCCACTTTAAAATGGTTAATGGGGGCTTCCCTGGTGGCGCAGTGGTTGAGAGTCCGCCTGCCGATGCAGGGGACACAGGTTCGTGCCCCAGTCCGGGAGGATCCCACATGCCGTGGAGCGGCTGGGCCCGTGAGCCATGGCCGCTGAGCCTGCGCGTCCAGAGCCTGTGCTCCACAGCGGGAGAGGCCACAACAGTGAGAGGCCCGCGTACCGCAAAAAAAAAAAAAAAAAAAAAAAGGTTAATGATTAATTTTATGTTATATGAATTAAACCTCAATTAAAAATGCAAAAAAGGGGGGTGGAAATGGTCTAACCATCTAAAATATTTGAAAGAAATTTATTTTCTGTTCAGAAAATACCACCGATTTAAAGCAGTTCATCATAGTATGTTTTTTAAATAAAGTTATTCTCCCAAATACTTCTTAAGAGTAATATTAATAGAATGCCGTATTTCTTACCAGAAGACTCTTTTCCATTCTGTTTTTCATAGAGGGTGCCCACAGACATCAGGAAAACAATAACCAGGAATACCGGAATTCTCCATGAGCCAGCCAAGGATGCTGCAAATTATTAAGAAATAACATCTTTAGTGAAATAAAAATCTAGCACTTGTCTTTAAAAGACTCAGTTTAGTAGACTGACAGAACAATTTGGCAAATATGTTAATAACAAAATTGTTTCACAGGGAAAAAATTTTTTAAAAGGCAACTGAAACCTCAATTCAGGGCTCCTCTCAGGAAGTCCAGCCCTGCTCTCAGAGGCCCTGGTCTAAAGGATTGGGTATGTGCCAGCTTACCTTTAAGAGGCTTGTATCACCTGAAGAATCAAGTCCATTCTAAAGCACATCCAGTGTTGAAGACCATCAAACCCCCTGTTTAACCCCCGAATGACCTGCATCAGGCACAGAACTTTAAGTCATGGTGCCTGACTTGATTTCCCGGAAATACCACTGGGTGTGAACTCTACCTCTCAAGAAAGGGTGGAATGGCCCACAAGAGCACGGCAAAAAGCTTTAATGTATCCTCAGTGTACAGAGCAAAAATGCTAACAAGTGGCCAAGGATCAAAAAGCCTCTGCATTTCCCTGAGTTGGTCTACAGCCTTACGAACATACCTGCCTGCCTCCCTCCTCTACTCTACCTTCCCCAAATTCGAAATGAGTCCCATCAGACATTAGGGGATCTTGTTGAGAAACTCCTTTAGCATTCCAAGTCAGCAGAGCTAGAGAGTAATGCTTTGTTCCATATCAGACTCTAAGCAAAGACACACTTTCAACCAATTCTGGTTTTTATTTTATTTTTAACAATAAGTAGCTCTAAAAACTACTACTAATAGGCTACCTACTGCTCTAGGTTACTGAATTTTGTTTTTAAATTAGAACTTGATGTTTCCATATAGTTAAGACTTGGAGGTAAATGAGTCCCTGAAAAATCACTCTACAACATCCTGGCAGCCACTCAGCTAACAGTGAAGAGTCTCAAATAACGGGGAACTCATTACTCTGAGCAGCTCTGACACTGATCATCCTTATGTTGAACAGAGACTTGCCTCTCTGAAGCTGCTCGTTGCTCTGACATCTCTCCCAAATGGCTACAGAGATCTGTTTAAACCACTCTTTCACAATCCTTCAAATACCTGAAACCGGCTTCCATATTTGGTATCTTCCTCACCTCTACCTCCTCCCCACCCCTGCAGCCCCAGTGCCCTTCTCTTATGGAGAGTAAACATCTCTGGTTCCCTTAAGAGTTTCTCTCACATGATTTTGAGCACCTCTTATCATCCTTGACTGCTTAGCTATATCCTCCCTAAGTAAGACACTCAGAAACAGCCATGAAAGTTCAAGTGTGCTCTACTTTATAAGATATATTTGTTTTTAAAAGACCTTTTTGAAAATGAACATTCCATATAATTAAAAGTAGACATTTTAAAGTACAATATTTTCATTCAAGATTAATGAAAGATTAAGGCAGAATATTTTGAAGGATTATTTTAAAGAATTTTAAATGCAACATATAAAACTTCAAAAAATTCACTCTGATTCACACGGTCAGCCTCCGCTGACCTTAAGCTAGACTTTCTTAGAAAAAGGGACCCACCTAAATGAAAAAGCAACATAATCCAGACAGGAATTGAAACTGCTCTCAAGTAGCGTTCAGTGCTTGCATTCCACTTGAATGAAACAGTCAACACATAGCCAACTACCAAGGTCCAGATCTTAAATAAATGAAATATAGACACAGTTGTAAAATATATACACATGCAATAAACATACAATTATACAAAACTTGCAAGCATCTACATAGCATGAGAGCTGTGGATACAACACAGATGACGGTTGGTGGTGCTAAAAGGAGTGTGCATAGGTTTTCCTCCTCTGCTTAGATAAATCAAGTTTGGAAATAAACAGGTTTGAAATCCCATGCAGTGATATTATTTAAATATCTTTAACAAAAAATACATAAATATAGTTTTAATTTAAGATATGTTAAAGTTCAAAAACTATTATATGCATAAAGATACTTACGATAAAATATTCAATTTTTAAGCCATGGATTTAAATTAAGTGCTTCACCTTGTGGAATTCTTAAAGTTTTCTCTGTAGATTAATATTTACGAAAGAAAAGAAAAAACAAGAGCGAATTCCCTGGTGGTACAGTGGTTAGGACTCCATGCGTCCACTGCCAGGGGCCCAGGTTCCATCCCTGGTCAGGGAACTAAGATCCCGCAAGCCGGTGTTACCATGAAAAGAATTTTTTAAAAGCTAAAAAGAAGGCAGCCAGCTGAAGTGTGACCCTGCTGAAATAATCTTGGTAACAGATGGTTAGAGTCCAGAGTTATACTCAGTTGAAGACGTGTAGCTGAAAAAAATATTACCAGAGGAAGAAACAGCGAGACTTGAGAACAGAAGAACCAGCCAGGGTCCCCCTCCTCAGTTTTCCCTACAGTAAAACTAAATGACTCTAGTAATCACAAAGCATCATACACAGAAACTCTCTAATAACCTCATATTTTAATAGAACATACACAAAAGATGGAAAGAATACATAACCTAGAACAAATGTGAGCACCAAGAATTTATTAAAACAACCTGAACCTTGGAAAAAAATAGGCAAATTAAAACAAAAAAAGGACTTTATGCTGTAATTCAGAGAGTGAAGAAAAAGGAACTGATATGGTTACTACAAAAGCCAGAAAAAAACTACCTCCTACTTTATTTTGATCATATCTTCAAAATACTCTTCGGGTCTTAAAAATGTTTATAGCTTCAGACCTGAGAATTCAGCTTTGGGACCTTACTAAATAATGATAAATTCTGAAAAAGGGTTAAAAATAAAGAAGCTCATCATAGACTAATTTAGAACACTGAAAAGTTGATAACCTAAAAGTTCAATAACTGGGAAGTGGTTAGCTCTGGATGAGTCACTCAGTAAAATGTTATGCAATCATTAAAACAGGCTTTTTTAAGCAAAGACTATATAACTTAAAAATATTCCTAAGATATTATTAAGGAAAAAGCAAAATTAAAAAACACATGTGACACGAGTATATCTACTGTATGGTGGAGGAGGGGGAGGAAATGTACTAAAAAGTTGTATTTAGGTGATAAGATTTTGTTTTCCCCTTTTCCTTTTCTCTATATTTTCCAAATTGCCTTTAATGAGCACTAGTTCTTTTATAATGAAAAGGATATTAAAATATTTTTCTTCAAGCAACTAATAAGATGAAATATTAAAGAGATCTTAAGCCCTAGATATATGAGCACATGGGAAGTGAGACTACAGCTGCTTCCAAAAAGTTCAAGCTTGTAGGACCATACACATTTAACCCTGGGAATTTAGAGAATTTGAGATATGACTGTAGAGCTCAGAACAAAATCTGAGTGTAGTAACAGTACACTTATGTAACACTTTGCCTTGTTCTAATACTTTAAATACATGAACTCATTTAATCCTCATAACCACAGGAAAAAAGTACCATTATCACTCCCATTTTAGAGATGAAAGAAACTGATACTTCAGAGAGGTGACTTGCACAAGGTCACACAGCTAAAAAGTGACAGAGTCGGGAAAGATGGGTTCAAGGCCTCTGGGGCAGCAGACTTAGCCTTGGACAGGCAGTGAGACGGGAGGAAAATCCAGGTAGAAAGACAGCCAAGGCCAAAAAGCTTTGAAAGGATACCACCCAATCAGTATCTTAAAGATGGAAGAGAAATCAGTCAGAAGTCTCTCTTCTAGAACCCTGTCCTCCTGCCTCCAGGGGACATGGGTTCAATCCCTGGTCGGGGAACTAAGATCCCACATGCTGCAGGGCAACTAAGCCCACGCACCTCAACTAGAGAGAGAAAACCTGCACGCCACAACTAGAGAGAAGCCCGTGCACCACAACGGAAGATCCTGCATGCCACAACGAAGATCCCGCGTGCTGCAACTAAGACCCGATGCAGCCAAAAAATAAAACATAAATAAATACTATTTTTTAAAAAAGCAAGAAAAAAGAAGTGACATAGTCAGGATTAGAACCCAGGAACCTGGCTCCAGAATCTGCTTTCTTAACAATAAGGAGAATAAAGGGTAGTGCCAGAAAAATAAAGAGGAAAAGCTGCTCCAGTATTCACAAGGGAAAATAAAAACAGTTGATTTTGATGACCACAAATTGCTGAAATTTAAAAAGAAAATGATCCTCAGCAAGTGGATGGTCTTCAGCAGTATGCTACACCGGGGTAATCAGCCCTGCCTTATTAAACATGTAGTCAGTAATTTAGATGAAAGACTAGAAGGCATATTAGCCGAACTTGTAGATTACACAAAATTGGGAATAGTCAATATAAATGATTCAAAAAGATATCCTGAAATTAGAACAATGGGCTAAACAAATAAGATTAAATTTAATAGAGAGAAATGCAAAGTTCTGCTTTTAGGTTCAAAACTCATCTATATGAGTATAGAATGGGAAGAGGATAGCTGGTCAGAAATGTAACTGGCATGAATGCCTATTAGTAAAAGTACAATACATCAGGGAAAGTGATTGTTTCAGTGACTTACACTGTCAAACCACAGTGGCAGTAAAATTCAGACTGGGAAAGGAAACGGAAATCACAACATAGGAGACACAGATACAGCTGGGGGAAAAAACTGTTCAGCTTAGAAAAGAGAAGGAAATAAGATTTGATAGCTATCTTCAAATAGCTGGGGAAATGTCATCTGAGAGAGGAACAGACTTAATTATCTGTGGTTCTGAGGGCAGAAATAATAGGTGGAAATTAGGAAGCAACATATTTCAGCTTTATATAATAAATTTTTCTAATAAACTATAGATGTCTAAAAAGGGAATGAGCTACCATCGCTAAAAGTCTGAGCAAAAGCTGACTGGAAGTCAGGCATGACAAAGTAGGAGAGTGTGCCTTCAGTGAGAAGCTGAACTAGAGGATCACAGAAGGATATACTTTCAGATTTTAAGCCTATGATACTTTTCAACCAATCTTCAAGAAGTTTTTGTTTCTTATCTGTATTCATAAGGAACGAGTATCACTCGCAAAGAGAGGAAGAAAATGAGAGACTGCATACTTCAGATTTTTTCAAAGAAACTCATGATCTAAAGAGAGGTATGTGTTTTCACCCAGTAAACCTGAAACTCACAGATAACCTCATTTCAGTTTAAAATAACAACTTATTAAATATACTCCCCAACTCCACGTCTACAAATTTGGTTTACAGAAGAACTACACACTGTGCAGATATAAAAATGTTCACTGTGGCAGTTTAAAATATTAAACAAATTAAATGTCATTTTATAGGAGACTGTTTAAATTATGGATCTCCAAAAATGAAATAATTATTCAGACTTTCAAAAGTGTGATAAATAACTTTATTCAATGACACAGTGTAAATTTATGCATATGCACATTTATAATGGTGAAAATATACCCACCAAAATGTTAAAAAATATTGTCTCTGAATGGTTGGATTTCAGGGGGTAAGTCGCATCTTTACACTTCAAGTATTGAATTTTCTTCTAAGAGTAGTATTATCTTTATAAATAGTAAATGTCTTTACTTAAAAAAAAAATCTTTTGACTTTTTTTCAGTATTTTCAAGAGTTTCCTCAGAAAAAATTCACAGAATATTATTAGTTGAAAAAGTATGGCCATTTATAAAAACACTTTAAAGTTTCTATTAAACCATAATGATTTTACAGTTACCAATGTTTAAAAATGTTTATCAGATACTAATACAAATTCAGTGCTAAAATAATTTGGTAGGAACACTTTCTAAAAGGCATCCAGAAAAAAAAAACTTTAGGCTACGCTACTATTAAAAAGAAAGAAGTATATCTGAAAGTACTATCAAGGAAAGATATCCACAATACAATGATAATGAAAGAGCAATGATAAAAGAAAGAGAATTTTATATATATAAAACTTTTGTTTTAAAAAACAAAACCCCTATACTTTATACATTCACATAGGTGTAGAAATAAATTTAGAAGGCTATTCACCAGTTAACAACAGTAATATCTATACAGTGGGAAGAGAAAAGAGACAATTCACTTTTACCATATAAACTTACATGCTGCTTAAATTTTTTTATATATATAATAAGCATGTTTTACTTGAGTCAGTATTTTAAATCGCTAAATATTCTTTAACTTACTGAAAATAAGGATGTGTACACTCAAATTTCATACATAATTTCCAGTATGGATTCCTATAAGTGTGCCTTTATGAGAGCTTTTTATTTCTGTCTCTCTCTGAGAAAACCTGTTCAAGTATGAATTTTCTTCCAGGAATAAATCAGTGAGCCACAGTTTAAAAAGAAGGCATACTTTCCCAAACTATGTTCTTCAGAGCAATGTGTCTGATCTTTTCAAAATATACATTCAATACTCATTTTAAAGCACCAATGTGTGCTAGATACTTAAGACTGTCCATAAAAACTGGCAACATTTATTTAGCACTACAAGTAAAGCAAACTAATAAACAATCACATTTTCCTTTCATTTGACTTATTAACCACATATACTTTTCTGATTAAATAAGATACTAAATGCATAAAACATAAGTAGACTTTGCCCTATAGACTATGTCTTTGTTTTATTTATTGTCATCTGGGTATTAACTGGAAAAGCAACTTGGCTTGCTTCTATTGCATGATTTTGCAGAACAGTTTCCTAAGTCTTTTACAGAGAGAATAAAACTACTTATTTCTTCCCAACTTATGGAGCCACAGCCCTCATCAGCTACTGTTTCGGGTACTTCATTCTCCTTTAAAACTTCATTCTCGGGCTTCCCTGGTTGCGCAGTGGTTGAGTGTCCGCCTGCCGATGCAGGGGACACGGGTTCGTGCCCCGGTCCGGAAAGATCCCACATGCCGCGGTGCGGCTAGGCCCGTGAGCCATGGCCTGAGCCATGGCCGCTGAGCCTGCGCGTCCAGAGCCTGTGCTCCACAACGGGAGAGGCCACAACGGTGAGAGGCCCGCATACCGCAAAAAAAAAACAACTTCATTCTCCTTTATTCTAATTTGAAAACTTTGTTCTCTTCATGGTGTGGCAACTTAAGAGTCAAGACTCTTTTATAATCAAAGTCTTTGAGAAAGAACCTAAGTACCGGAAACTTTCCTCCTTACTGTTGCCAGGCAAGTAAAACATCCCAAGGAGTAGGCCTGGCCAGCTGGCTAATGTACATTTCCCAAGAGCCTTGCTGGCAGTACTACCAAACTTTGGGGATCTATCTGTAAAACTGAATATCCAGGAACCTTAGAAATCGTCCAAGCTAACCCCACACTTCACGCAACTAGAGTTGAGTAGCCCAGAGACGGGCCCTGGTCTGTCCAAGGTCACAAAGCAAGCTACTAACAGAGCTCAGTTTAGAATTTACACTCTTATCTTTCAGCCACTGTTCCTTCCACTTCATCCTTCTTTATAAAGTAAAATGGAAACAATGTGATCAGAGACCATGGAGAAAACAAATCTATTACTACTGCAAAAACTGTAAATGTCTTCAAAACGTTCTAACAAGTCTGAACTAAAGGAGAGAGGAAGACCCAAAACACTCCCAGCAAAGAAAAATGGTGGAGCAGGAAGGCTAGATTTTTAGATTTATCTTGACAGCTCTACACCAAGGAAAGATGCCAAGGACCCTAAGGACTGAGTTATATGTGAGGTTGCTGCAACAGATGATTTTTTTTAAGTGTTTAGACATCACTATGTCAGCACGATATTCTAATATATTTGAAACTGTTTTTAAAAATTGCTCACATCATGGATGGTTACTCTTTCACTTGCAAGCAGGATGGAGAATTAGCAGAAAAGAGCTAGGAGACTGAAGGAACCCCAAAGCGAGGTGAACAGGACCTGAACTGGAAGGATAAACTGGTAGCAAAGGAAAACACAGGTAGTAAAGACATTACAAAGGAAAACGGGATAGGACTTGGAAATAACAGATACAAGGATAAGAGAGATGACTAAGGTTTCTAGATGACTAGAATCCAGGGGCCTTTGGGGGAATATGTGTGGTTAGTCCAATCCTGATATTCTTCTATTTTTTTTTCCTGAAAACTAAAATCAATTTATACTATAAATAAATAAACACAATGTATTGGGGGAAAGCTTTTAAAAATCTTTGTTGAAGGCTCTGATGACAAAGGGCCTTCAACTGCTGACAGGTCTGTTGAGTAGGATTCACTGACAAAATGAAGAGATCAATCTCTAAATCTCACCTGAGAAATTCCTGCCTCCTACTTCACGTGACTGTTGTGAGAATGAAATAACACACATGAAAGTGCCTACCAGTACATGGTAGATGCTCAAAAGCTGGATCTTAAATGCATGGATTGTCAGCTCTCCAAAACGTAGATTTCCTTAAATTCACTTTTCTCTCTACCTCCCCCAGCCATACCTCTCAGCAGCAGCAGGCTCCAATTTACAGGTTGTTTAGAAAGCATAAGGACTCTTTTTCTATGACAGGCAGCCCTTCTTGGGCTCACAAAACCAAACCAGATGTGAACTATGACAAAAAAGTTATAGAGAGGGCGCCCTACCCAGTCACATGACCTTTCACTTGTCAGGCCTTAATCAGCACTCCTGACTGAGCAGTGAGCACTCCCTGTCTCCGCTTCCCAGGTACACTTTTAGCTCACCTCCATCCAACCACCGGCTCCTGAGAACTGCTTCAAGAAAACACAGCCGCAAGCTTCTCTCCAACTCAGATCAACCTCAATTTAGGCTCCCTACTCACTTCTAATTAACTCATACCGTGTCGTTTATAATGGAGTTTTTTACCCCTTCCTCCCTTGCCCCCATCGCTTTAGGCAAACAGCTGAGTTTCAAGCCTTTTCAAAATTATTAATTGGCTTGACCTTCCTTCCCCTCTTCTAACCTAATCAATCTTGGCCCTTACTTCTCTTCTGCTCATCCACAACCCATTCAAGGGTATGTAAATAAAATACAAGGAAGGGGGGTTTATCTTCAGTAAAAAGATATTCATAGCTCTATACACGGAGATGCAGGCACTTTTTCACAATTATTCAATTCCTCATCTCCTTCCACTATCTGAGAGGGACTGGCAGAAATGCCCAAGTTTCTGCTAATCATGGCAATTTACCCATGTATTCAATTCTTACTTTACTATGAAAATACAGTGTTCATATATGCTAGGGCTTTCTTTCCTAATTCCCTACAGTTTGGTGGATATGTTACTTGGTCTTGCCTACGGTAATTACAGTAAACTGCATTATCAACAGTCAAAAATGTTAGCAGAATCTAGAAATATGTCTGAATTTGACAAGATTGAATCTCTTGAGGACAGGAATCAAGTTATAGTAACCTTTATATTTCTTAACAGCATACAGTACTCTGCCTTCTATGTAAGAGGCATTCAGTCCACTTAACTGAACTGTGAAACAACAGGTAAAGGAGAAATAACATGGAACTGGGACTCCATAAAGTGAACCCTGGGTTTGTTCAAAGTCTGAGCGACTTTGGGACCATCACATTCTCCGGATCTCAGAAACCTCTCCTGAAGGGCACCAGGCAAGGAGGCAAGAAAGAGTAGGATCACTTCCACCTGACAATCTGCCAAGCCTCAGGAGGTGAAAGAGGGTGCTTCCACATCCCTCCCTCCTACCACAACTGAAATAACCAGGGCTCTTGGAGGCCAAGGATTCTGTCTGATAACTTAGCAGTTACACACACAAGCAGCATCCCAAAATTATGGATGAGGTGCTCCCCAGTACCTTGCAATACCCTGCTGGCCCATAATTGATGGGTAATGAACATTTATCTGTGTGTCTGTCATCTCCATAAGAATATGCTCACATATGATTATATGTACCTTGAACACAGAGCCTGCACCTTACTCCGTTTAAAGCCCTCACAAAGCCCAGTACCTAACAACATACTCAATCAACTTTTAACTTGAACTGAGAGGTTGTATGGATAGAGCAAGAGCAGACAGGAGTTCTGGAATCAATCACCAACTCTACCAATAACCTCAGGCAAGTCAAAACCTTGCTTGACAGATAAAGGGAATTATTTTGCAACTTGACATCAAGGTGCATTGAACACTGACAAAAGTGAATACATTTATTTTTAAATGGTACTGCTTACTGATGAAATAGCATTCTTATGCATTAAACATCCACTTGTTTTTAACAGTCCCCAGTGAAATATTTGGATCATTAACTGATCTACAATCTGGTCTGAGTTAGGAAATGTGTCACTAGATTATGCTTGAAATCCCTTCCAACTCTCAAGCTCCGTGATTTTCTAAGAATAAGCTCAGATGATCCAAGAATCACAAATATACCTTTCCTTCACCCAGTCTGCCTAAGTAATCCAGGCGGGAGGAGAATGTTGCACAGCAGTCCCTGCACAATGTAAGCAGTTCCCAAGAATAGACTGTGGTGAGAAAGAGGCCCACGAGGCTCAGCAACCAGGTAGGTGCCTGGCACAAAGTACACTGAAATCACCTGAACTGAGAGGCAGCTCTGAACTATTAAGAAAGATTTGTTCTAGGACTTGAGATACTTGCGTCAACCAGTGCCCTCTTTGTGCCCAACTAGCCCTAGCCTGGTAAGAAGTCACCTCTCCTATCTGTAGGATGACAGGTTGGATTAGAATCTCTAAGGTCCCTTCCAGGAAAGTCCCACGTGAGCAGAACTAAGATGCTGGAGCACCCACTCTCCCTGATCAGGAGTAAATTCATGTCCACCTACCGATGCACTGAAGCCCCTACCTGCAAAGGGGAACAGCGATTCCTCACAGGGCACACGCCCCTCTAAGTGGTTCCGTTAGGACAGGGGCGGGGAACGGGGAGACTGTTTCAAACCACACCCGCACTTTGTTAGGAAGTGCGCCAAGTTCCTAGGGTGCACGGGAAGGAAGGCTGAGACGGACACTGCCTGCAGCGCAGGTCTGGATCTCTGGCCGCCCCTGCATCGGGCGGAGGGGTTGGCAGGATCGCACCCCAGCGAGCTGCGGGTGTGGTGAGGGGCATTGCGCGCTCGCCGGGACCGCCCAGGGCCCGGGCCGAGGCTCACTCACCCACAGGCTGCTGAAGTAGTCCAGCCCGCGGCAGATGAACGCGCCGGCGTGCGCCAGCAGCACCTGCACGCCCAGGTAGCTGCCCAGGCTGTAGAGGCCGTAGAGAAGCGGGCCGCCGGCGCCGAGCAGCAGCAGCAGGCGGCGGCGTCGCAGCGCCTGCTCGCCCAGGGCCTCCACGCCGTAGTCTGCGAAGCAGATCGGCAGCAGCAGCGCGGCCAGCACGATGGGCGTGTGCGCGCGGTGCAGGCGCTGCAGCCAGTGGCGGCCCAGCCGCGTCAGCGAGCTCTTGAAGGGGTGCAGGAAGGTGCCGCACAGCACGGCCCACAGCAGCGGCCGCAGGAAGGCCTCCAGGATAAAGTAGACGAGCACGGCGGCGCCGCAGCACAAGCACACGAACAGCACGGCCCCGGTGTTGTAGAAGGCCTGCTTGATGGGCTTGTCGAAGCGCAGCGCCAGCGCCGCCGTCCGCGGGGTCTCCCCGCAGCCGCTGCCGCTGCTGCCCGGCCCGACCGCACGCTGAACCCGCGGCGCCCGGCCCGGGGAGCCCCGCGGACTGGGTGGCTCTTCAGGGGAACCGTCGTCGGCCATGGTACCGCTGCCGCCGCCGCCGCTGCCGCCGAGAGGCGGTACTGGGATGCCTGGCGAGAGGCACGGGCGAGAGGCAGGGCGGGCGGCCCGCGGCATTGTGGAAGTCGTAGTTCCTAGCTGGCCATTGAACGCTTACAGGACCTTTGGGGAACTACAACTCCCAGAGAGCGTAGAGAGCGCTCCTTCGCCCTCGGGCTCCCTTCGTTCATTGGTCCCTGAGGAATCCAGGTAACAGGTTTCTGGGCTCAGCATCCTAGAAGAGGCAAAAAACAAACAAACAAGCCAACTCCCCCTTCCCATCAATTAAAGTGTTATAATAGTCACAAACTGGGGGGAAAAATGTCAGATAATCTTCCCGAAAAACACCCTGAACTGTCATTAAAAACAACCCAAAACAAAACAAACGAAAAAAGCAACACGCCTCACCTACTGGTTAATGCCAATTTTGGGGGAGGCGGAATCCCCAAAGAGGCACGATGTTAACAGATTTAAAACCCAGGCTGAAAAAAAAAAAAAAAAAAAAAAACCCAGGCTGCACATTAGAATCCGTGGGGGAGTACTTATGAAAGACCGATCACCAGATTCTATTTTATTGATTTATTTAATAAACACTTAAAGTGTGTGCTCTGGTGTGCTTGGCAGGATTTTTAAATAGCGATTACCATATTGCAGACCCTGTTATAAATGTCTCATCCCCATTAACTCATTTGATCCTTAGAACAACCCTACAAGGAAGGCGGTGTTATTATCCCCACTTTACAAAGAGGAAAACTGAGGCACAGAGAAGTTAAGTACCTTGCCAAGGTACACAGCTAGTAAGTGGCAGAGGCAGGATTCAAACTCAGAATCTGGCTCCTAAGTCTATTCTTACGTACTATGTTAATTAATTGGTCTGACAAGGGATCCTTTTAGCATATTTTTTAAAGCTCTTCAGAAGACTATTTGGCGCAGCTACTGGAACTAAGAGAAATGAAGGCTGAAGCACCAGAAACTCACTAGACTTACATTTATATGGCCTAACGCAAGGCTGGGTTCCTATAGGATTTTGCTCACCCCTCTATGATCGTACTTACTACACTACAGTCAAAGTCAGAGATTCTCATGGGTTTGCTTCATTTCTGTGTCCCCAGCACCTGACACAGCATGGGCCATTCATAGTGCAAGTTCAGTGTTTGCTGAGCAAGTGAATGGACGATTTGCTATCCTTTCAAAAAAGCTTGTTTGTACTCCCTATGAGAAATAGTGTTGAAACACTGGGGATGTTTCTGCTATGTATTCCTATGGTTGAGAGCAGAGAAAAAATACTGGGATGTAGGACCTACAAACTAAATTTGAGAGAAGTACACAGTCTACTCAAATCTCTAGCTCACAGGACATATGCTTTTAGGCATCCCCTCCAAAATGCAAGGCTACTTGGGTTTTCTTCTTTGGTCCCACACAGCAACTCACTCCAACGACCTCAGGGAAGAACAGCCTCCATGGGCATCCAGGATACAGTGGAGGTGAAATAGATTCAGAGGAGTGAATCAAGCTGACCCTGGGACCACACTGCCTTTGGCCTTCCTGTTGCATGAACCAATGAATTTCCAAACATTTAAGCCAGTTTCAGTTCAGTTTTACATTTCTTGCAACAGAAAGATTTCTGGCTGATAAAATGATAACATCTACATCACTGGTTGCTGTGAGAATGAAACTGAAGAGTGTGTCTAAAGCAGCAGCACAGTACCTGGGACATGGTAAAAAATCTGACAGTGGCTCTCAGGGTAACTCTTCGTTTTGTCCTAGAGAAGCCAAGAGGCATCTCTTAAACATCAGTCAATGTCCACAGACTCCCAAGGTATCAAGGTAACAGCCCCAGAGGTAAAACAAACACAGGTGGGGAGAGGATTCTCCAGGGCTTTATGTTTATCTTAGAGTGTTTACTTTAAACAAGGTCCAGTGCTTACAGTGGAGTGTGTACATCACATATAGAGCAGTATGTACAGTGCAGGAGAAGCCATGTGAAAATGTAATCAAACAACATGCATTCAGATTCCAAATCTGAGTTACCACTCTCTTTTACTAAGCCCGTAGAAGACATTGCTAATCAACCACTCAACTCTTTCTCACTGAGCCTAGACACAGCCTCAAAATCCTTCTCAGCAAAGCATTCTAGGGAACCACTACCAACTCCACAAAGTAAGCACCCAAGATGAAACGTATTTGCCTTTTCTACACTTAACTAACCATCCAGCGTCTGAAACTAGATAAAATTGGCAGACTAAGAACATAAATAACTGGTTTAGAAGAAAAGAGTTTGGGAAGCTAAGGTTAGTATGAATGTGAACAGTTACTAAGAGATTTTTTTCTTACATCTCAATGGCTGAAGAACAAATGATGTAAACAAGTCTGATACCATCAGGCCCTGCCTGACTCCCTAACTACTCCTACTTCTCTCTCCTATTCCTGCACTAGGACACATGCCCCCACTTACAGCACGGGTCCTGCCAGTTCACTGAGTGGAGTATCGCCTTTCCTGCCTCCAGGCTCCTGTTCATCCAGTCTAGGTTCCTGTCCTTCTGGTTTGTACCATTCAGCTATAGCTAACCTTCCAAACCATGTCAATAAGGACAATTTTACCAATTCGTAAAAAGGTCAGTGAAAAAATTATCAAATTGATTCAACCAACCCAGTTGAGGCCCATGTACCCAGGAAAAGACCAGATGAGTGAAAGAAAGCTGGGCAGTTCTTTTGGGGAAAACACACACACAAAATCCCCCTTTAAAAAAAAGGTCTGCGGGGCTTCCCTGGTGGCGCAGTGGTTGAGAGTCCGCCTGCCGATGCAGGCGACATGGGTTCGCGCCCCGGTCTGGGAGGATCCCACATGCCGCGGAGCGGCTGGGCCCGTGAGCCATGGCCGCTGGGCCTGCGCGTCGGGAGCCTGTGCTCCGCAACCGGAGAGGCCACAACAGTGAGAGGCCCGCGTACCACACACACACACAAAAAAAGTCTGCAGCCAAAATAGCTCCCCCTTTCTCTTCTAGGGTGGGAGGAAGTTTGGTAGGGGGGATTGGCATCTGCAAGCTGATTTTGTAATTAACACTTATTACCAAAAGCCAGAACTGCCTGTCCAAAAAGTGGCTGGCCGTAAATGTCCTTTGCCGGTAGCTCCTCATCTTCATAGACCTGATTTGTCTGGAACGCTTTATCTGGAGCTGTTGAAGTGTGACAGTTAGGGATCAGGATTTGGGATTCCCAGCCCACCCCTTCCTTGGCTCTACTCCCAACAACACACTCCAACTAAAGCTGAGACTATGCAGCGTATAAACAACCAGCCTTCTGCTGCAAGTCAGAGCAAGACTGGGAACCAGGAGATGGTGGATGCATTTCACATTAGCCAGACTAATCACTCTCTATTTATAACTAAACTCTCTTCATTTGAGAATCAAGTCCTGATGGGTTTGAATCCTAAGCATTGCTTGTTTGTACACTCTTGGTACCACACTGATATCACTGCAGCCTCCAGCTGGTCCCTTTGTCTGCCCTCTTGCTGCACTCTCTACAGTGCAGCCAGCGTGATCTTTCTAAAATACAGTCTGATCCTTTCAAAGCCTCCTCACTTTGTGGGGACGTTCCAAACTCTTTGCTATGACTTCCAAGGTCCTCTGTGATGGGGCCACGCTCACCCTACCTCACTCTTCCCACTCTCTGCCTCATCCTTTATCCTCCAGCAGTTGGGTGGCCCCCAAGGATATCCAGATCCTAATCCCTAGAACCTGTGAAGTATGTTACCTTACTTGTACTTTGCAGATATGATGAAGTTAAGGATTTTGATGTGAGGAGATTATCCTGGATTATATGGATGGGGGCTAAATGCAATCCCAAGTATCTATATCAGAGGGAGGGAGGGAGATTAGACTACAGAAGAGGAGAGCAATCTGACCTCTCTGACCACAGAGGCAGACATTGGAGCCATGAGACCATGGGCCAAGAAATATCCACAGCTACCAGAAGGTGGAAAAGCCAAAGAAGGATTCTCTCCCCAGGAGTTCCCAGAAGAAACCGGCCCTGCCCACACCATGATTGTAGCTCCATGTGATTCAGTTCAGACCTCTGGCCTCCAGAACTGCAAGGAAATACATTTCTGTTGTTTTAAGCCACTAAATTTACGGTAATTTGTTACAGCAGCAATAGGAAACTAATACAAACCCTGTCAAATGACAGCGGTTCCCAAACACATCCTGCTGGCCTTTCTTCTGGGGTTGCTCTCCCCTTTCTTGGAGATGCCTCTCCACATCCTTTGCCTGCTTTACTCCTATTCCTTCTTTAAGATTCAGCCTCAGTACTACCACCTGCTTTCACCTGGTTGCCCCAGGCTGGGTGAGGATCCCTACTCCAGGTTTGCACCACACCTGAGCATTTCTTTACACTGCAGTCACCAAAAAGTATTATCATGATATTTAGGTATCTGACTCCCCAAGTAGGCTATGAGCCTCTTAGGGGCAGAAATCAAGAGCTGTTCTTCCTAGAGTCCTCCATGAGTAGTTTCTAGCATAACGACTGGTACATAAGAGTCCTCAATAAGTATTCATTGAATGAATGAATGAATGAACAAGTGGTTAAAGCTTCTTGACCTCCTGGATGCAAGTAACTTTCATGTCCACTTTACTTCAGCAGTCTCTTCTTACAGCTCATACCCTGGCCCTTGCACCTGGGACTGAGCCCTAAGAAACTTCCAAGTCAAACATCAGCCAGGGTCAGGTAGGACAGCTGGGCTACCCACTGAGAATACTGCAAAATAAATACCACGGCAAACACCTAGGATACCAAAAAATAACAAAATAGTTGTTTGGGGGGTGGGGTGAGGATTAGAGCCTATAATGCAGAATGTGGTAATAACTAACTCTTTCTTAACATGACATTCCTTGAATTTCTCAACCTAGTCCCAGTTTCTCAACCAGTTCAGCTACTGCATTCCACAATTTCCATACCACCTTGATGATTCATAAGCCTTTACAACTAAACCAACTGTTCTTAACATATAATATGATTTAGTTACCAGTAAG